GCAGCGTAAACTCCGACCTTGTGAGCGGAAGTGTCATCGGTCCCGGTACACAGTCCCAATACATAGAAAATTCATACGGAGACAAACACCATACGTCTTCTTGCTGCGGTCTATGTCCATATGCTTGCGCCGGATCCAGCTCACGCAGTTGCCTTTGTCCGGCCGGCCCCTTCTTTGTCCAACGATGTCTTTTCCCGGCGCTCCATTCTTCTGTCTCGTTGCACGCGGCATTAACTGCCTGCAAAACGGCGCGCCCGGGAAAACTGCAAAAAGCTGCTGTACTGATGCGTTCCGCTGCAACCACTGACGCTGGGTTATTGTGCGCCCGCAAATTACAACACTCCACCTGTCCCCGAACGATGCCTTTGCAGTACGCATCGCTCAGAAAACGAGTGACGTGCCTTTTTCCAAGCTTTTCCAGTGGCTCCTGCTGGTAGTTGCTCTGCAACTGCTGGTGCCCCTTTTGAAATTCTTTGATTTCATGAAATGCCATGGGCTGGTTTTTGGCACAATAATCTGCGCAATACCCGGTTTGTGCATCTTGAGCGCGCTGCACGGCGCGAACGATTTCGCGTCGCTGCTGCTTCGACATAGAGCTCCCACAATGATCACAGTGGAACGGCAAGCGATAGGGCAGCTGGACATCCACATTGACACCACGCAACGCTGCCAACATTGCAGGATGACAGCAATTCAGCCACTCATTCCCATAGAATGGGCTAGCGCCCAGGTGCCGCCGACCCCCCTAATTGGAGGGTGGGTACTGTAGAGAGAGAGAGGGAGACGGACAGCAAGACAGACATATGGCCGTTTGCTTCTCAAGCCTGTGGCCTTGTCGTCGCTTTTGCGTGCGGGCGTGGCGCCTGTTGGGGTACCTTTTGCATCGGAGTTGGGCGGACTTTTGGAGGAGTTGGAAGGGTTTAACGCCTATAAGAAGCCATTGCTGCGGCCGGGGGGTGCCCTTCAGCCATTGCTGTGGCCTTGTGGTGGCTTTTGCGTGCGGGAGTGGCGCGTGTTGGGCTTGTTGGGGTACCTTTTCCCTGCGGAGCTATGCGAACGTTTGGAGGGTTTGGAGCGTTTTGGAGGGTTTGAGGCCTGGCAAACGGCAGCCTTGAACGCCTATAAGAAGCCATTGCAGCGGCCGGAAGGTGCCCTTGAGCCATTGCTGTGGCCGTGTGGTGGCTTGTGCGTGCGGGAGTGGCGCGTGTTGGGCTTGTTGGGGTACCTTTTCCCTGCGCAATGGCTTCTCCAAACCCTCCAAACCTTCCAAACCCTCCAAAAGTCCGCCCAGCTCCGCAGGGAAAAGGTACCCCAACACCCAACAGGCTTGAGAAGCAAACGGCCATATGTCTGTCTTGCTGTCCGTCTCCCTCTCTCTCTCTACAGTACCCCCCCTCCAATTAGGGGGGTCGGCGGCACCTGGGCGCTAGCCCATTCTATTATGACAGCGTGTGTTGGCAGCAACTTTTGGGAAACACCCTTTGCAGGGGTAATTGGTGGTGTCTGTCGTGCTGGTATTTTGGTGGCCTCTCAATTGTGTTTCGGTGGTCGTTGGTGTCTTGGTGGCACATTGGTGGTGTGTGAGTGGTGTTTTGACGGTGTTCGGTGATTTTTTGAGTGTCTTGCTCATGTTTTGGTGGTGTTTCTGTGGTGTCTTGGGGGTGTTCCGGTGGTGTCGTGGTGGTATTGAAGGATCGGTATTATTATTTTTACTAAACCGCCAAACCAGCGTTAAAAAAATCAAATTTTACTGATGGGGTTGTATGCCGGGTTAATTGAATTTACAGATATCAAAGTTTTGTCAAAGTTTGAAAGTATATAGAATCTAAAAAGCTTGACGAAGCAAATAACAGTTTAATCAAACTTTAATATAATATATAATTCCAAAGATTTATCAAAGTTTGATGATTTAAAGATCCCTGTGCGAGTTCACCGGGTCAGGTTGGGGCCTGTGATTTTCTAGTAGAAATTTTAGGTTGTATAAATTAGGGACCCAAGAAATCTAGCAACAGACATCAAACCAATTTGGGGTATCCTAGAAAAATGGCAACGTACAAGAAGTGCACTTTCGAAGCTATATTTAGAACTTTTCCTTAAAACAACACCGCCGTATCTGAATAGCATAGTTTTGCAATTACGATATCAAACATGCTACTGCTACCTTTTTTCTACAGCCCAACATGCAACCCAGCGTGCGGTTTCGAATTTTTCGATCGAGCTTTTCGAAAATGCATATCTTCCCTACATAGTCGCCCAGGACAGCCCACAAAAAAAACATTTGAACAAACGCAAGGTTATAAAATCATGTTGCTTGTTTGTTGGTGGCTGTTGGTTGCCCTTCAGAAAATATACAAAAATGCAACATTTCACAGGCTTTGAAAACGAAAAATGTTGTTCATGACGTGTTGCTGGAAATCATTGTTACTTAAGAAAATCATGCAAAATGGCTGCAAACAGGCTCAAACCACGGGAATATGTAATTCTTGTCAAGATAATCGTTTGCGCAAAAAAATTGGCGACGCAGGCAAACACGAGAAGTAAAAAGAAAAGGTGGCGGTTCCAGGATGGTTAGATATTAGCCTTTTATATACTTCAGCTAATCCCCCCCGACATCGATTTTCTAGATCGAAAACGGGTGGTCGCAACCCCCCACCCCAAGATGCATCTATATGGAATATTGAAGAGATTGGGTCAAGATCAAAATGACATCTAGGAAATCAACTTGGAAAATTGTTTCATGATGTTTCATGTACCCTCCAAGAAAGGCGATTTTTCTAGGAAATCTAATGTGCTGGGGGATAGGTGCGTATGTTTCTGTTACTTAAATATACATTTTTTCCGAGAAAATCAAACCACTCAGGTTCCACTTTTACGGGTTTTTGTACAACCCTAAAACCACATATATTTACCTACCCCATGTGCTTCAATATTCTAGGCATCCAATAGGCTTATATCTCACATCAATCACTTTGATTTTCTAGAAATTCAAACAATCCCAAAAAAATACCGCAGACAAAAGAAAAAAGTTACTCTTTCTAACTTCAGCCGCGCTCAAAATCATTCACAAAGAACACAATAAGAATAACCATACCAGGGATTTGATTTTCTAAGGACTCCCACATGTGGAACCCCCAGGAATTCCATTTTCTAAAGGTCGTCTGGGTGGAGAGCGCCTAACATGTGAAGAAAAAAACACCTCATGTGTGTCGAAACAAATGCGTGTTTCGTGACCTCCCTCGCCCACTGATTTCATGGAGGGAATTCCACGGGGGATGGTTAGATTCAGGTTGTGAGGTTACGGCAAAATGCAAGGTAGGGCTAAAATATGCCAAAATCGTCCGCTCCAGCTCGGGGGCTTCAGCCCATTCAAATGCTCGAAAGGGGATGGAAAAAGGATGCGATGAACAAAATAGAATCACCTGCCTCTCCAGAAAATCAAGGACCACTAGAAAATCTATGAACGTACTCCCACAGATGCTAAAATTATGCTTCAGGATTTTGGGCACCTAAACTCTCCAGAAAATCAGCATCTTACGACTCAGAGGTCTCGCAAAGTTGTTCTTTAGAAAATTGGAGGAACTTCGAAAGCATCATTTCAGCAAATTCGAGCTTTTCGAAGGACAGAAAATCAACCCTCCTCAACCCTCCTTAGGGGGGTTACCCCCCTGAAATCCTCATACCGGTATATTCAAAGCAAAGTCTTATCAAACTTTGATTGGGCTATCAAACTTTCACAAAACATTGATATTTATGTCAAACTTTGAAACATTCAAAGCTTGACCAAAGTTTTGTCACACTTTTGTCAAACTTTGGTTTGAATTGTTGTTAAAGGTTCATCAACCCTTGATCAAACTTCAACGAAACTTTGATGAACAGGTAATACATTTTCTTCAAACCAACGTTTTTTTAATGAAACAATAACATATTTTTGATTTATTTTGATGAAAAACAATTGTGAGAAAAGAAGGCTAAGCATAAATCGCTCTTGCTGGCTCCATAAATGGAAGATCATAACAACTATGCCCATTATCTATGCCTTCCTCTTGGAATCCTTTAGAAACCTCAGAAACCCCAAACACTCTCAAACACTCTGAGGCTCTCAGAGACTCTCAGACATGTAGCAAAACACCTGCGAAACTTCTCTGAAAACAATCAAACACAATAAAATCTTCAATAAAACAGAAAAAATCACAACATGATCAAACTGTGAAGCCGATCAGAAGCCCTCAAGCACCATCAGAACCTATCGAAAAATGATGCTTTGCCTGAAGGCATGTGAATGTGCAAAAGACAGCCCATTGTAGCGCAAGGTAGTTTCCACATGCTGGCCACGAGTACTGAAAACACAGCAGCCCAAGTCCACACCAAAGATGATACGAGCTGGAGAGCAATTTTCATAACTGCTCCAAAAAGTACAGTACTCCAAAAGGTGTCACAATAAAGATCGACCATATCTAGAATCCAAATCTGGGACAAATGCTAAACACTATTAAGCGCTAATCTCATCTCAGCTACCTTTGCAGCTGGATGTGCGATAATCCTGAAAAACATTGACAACAATATCCGCTTCCGCCCAAATCACCGCACTCCGGGTTCAGGCACCCCGTGGACACCTACAACTCATCTCACTCATTTTAAAATCTTGCAGATACAGAGCTTCAGCCTAGCTGCATAGCCTTACTGCTGGCTTTCGTAATTGATTGCTGTGTGTCATACTGGTATGACATGCATGCACGCATGGCAAAAAAGCGGGGACTAACAGCGTGCTTCACGGAGCCCGCAGTGGTCACAAGCATAGCACACAATAACCACAACAAGAACTGGAACGGTGTCAACCTAGACAGCACAAGAGCATTGCCGGCATGCACTACGAGTTTGACTGCCAAGGTTATTGCAGGCTGATGATAGTCAAGGGAAATGCTCATGTACAAATCGTGCCAATGTATTTGAATGGATCCCTCGACACGAGTGTCCCGAAGTATCAATCAATTGGTGACGCGTCGTTTTGTAGTCTGCATTCAGCGGTGCGAAGTTTCGTTGTTCTCCGTTGCTTTGCAATGGAGATACAACAAAGTGACGGTAGATCTACGATCGATGTCGATCTCTCATGACGTTTGTCCGACAAATCCGAAATGTCTCGATCTATGTCCGAAGAAAAAAATAACTTGGCCGTCCTTGTGCAGCAGTGAAACAGGAGTTCCTTGCGCTTAGCTGCGCCTTGCAAGGCGGAGCGTGACGCAGGAATACGCAGGTCAGCAATATCAGCAATGAACAGGAAAGGCCGAAGCAATGCGGTTTCTCTTGTCGCATGTTCAAACCATAAACTCCTATCACAACAGCAGGCCTAGTATCGCCATGTATCGCCTAGTACTCTTCAGGAAGATCAGGGCCCCGCTCCTGGCACACCCCTGCCCACACCTGCCCTGTTCCATCGGGGCTCACATTTTCAGTCAACTGCCTTGACTTGCTTACTAAGTGGGTCTGCTCACAGGCATTCTTGACATTTCTTGACTTTCCGTGCCTTTTTCTTGTTGGTTCCTCAGCTATGTCAGAATCATGACTGGCGAAATATCAGGAGAACGGAACAGGGGTGGCCAGATCTGAGCGCCAAGCCCAACCGGCCACCTTTCCTGCAAACGATTGGACGCCATCTACATGCTTTCTGCAATCGAATTTTAGACCAAACCTATCTGAAACTTTCTAAAACTATACATACTTTACCAATCTTTACCATATTCTAGTATATTCATGGGCTGTTGCTTCGCAAGCTTGTAAGATGCTGCATGCTGTAATTGCCTCCAAATCAGCCGGCCACTTTCTGTGTTTCCGAGGAGCTCCACCTGAACAAAATGCAGAGCCGGTAGACAGTTTTGGACACTTATGTAATACATATGTATGTAATACTTATGTAACTTAAGTACTGTTTATGTTCATCATTGCTCAAAAACGGTTCAAAACGGTTCAAATCCTTGCCCCGAAAGATCTTGCAATCTTACAAGAACACGTAGGAATCTTGCTCATCACTCTGTGCCACAGCGGTCCTGGAAGGAAAAGCAAAGACAAAAATTTTACAAGCTACTCAAACAAGGATCGATTTCAGCCAAGGCGCGCTAAGAATCTTCATCACATTCACCGTCAAGGTGTAGTCAACATCTACCAAGCCGTGCAGAACATCTGCCATGAGCTTTGCGTCGTTCATGACCTCAAGCGTTGGCACGGGCCGAACAAAAAATGACATGCAACGACACTGCTAACATTCTGCTTTTGAGAACTCTTAAGACTTAATTGAAGTTTTTTCATTTCTTTTGCACGTTTGCTGGCATCTATTTATGCAAGCCGCTGGAAATAATCTCGTCGCGAAACGTAGGTCCATAAATATAAATATAGATATAAATAAATAAATAAATAAATATATATATATGTGTGTGTGTAAATACATATGCCAGAACTGGAGAACCCAATCATTTTCCACGCTCTGATGTTCTTTGAATGCCTAAGACTGAGACTAAGAACCCTCAAGCATCCGCATCTGGCTGGAAGCAGTCAAGACAGCCGCTTGTTGAGCCGCTAGACCTATACAATATTCAGCTTATTTCTTGTCTAGTGACTCTCAGAATTTATGTGTGTATTGTATATATATATATATACACGTAAAAAATTATACATGTACATAATATTCAATATTTTATTATATGCAGGGAGTTTGCCACCCTGAGTTGATCCAGATTGACTGGCAGTCTCTAGGAACAATGGAATCAAGTCCGTGGGCCGTGTCTTGGGAAATCCAATTGAGCAAAAAGGCAAAGTTGCAAAAGAAACCAGACCCCACTATAGTATCTATATAATTCTATATAGTACTGTATCTGATAAAATCTCAAACTCTTGCTTTGGACAAAATCATTGGTGCCAACGCTTAAAAAGCAGGAAACTATCAGAAGCTCAAAACTGCATTTATATAAAGCAGCATCTAAATAGGCTTCCAAGGCAAACACAAAAAAAACAGCTGACCTGCTCTACAATCTGTAGAGCTGGTTTGGAGATGTCTTTCTGTGGGGTTTTCTGTTGCCGGGCTTTCCAAAACCACCAATCTTATCAACCTGAAGCCAAAAGCAACCGAGACACAATGACAAGCAACAAATTGAACATATTCTCATCGATGAGTGATTGGTAGCTTTATCAATGGGGCGCCAATGCTAGTACTGGTGGTCTAGGGGTGCGGGCAGGGCATACATTGATATGCACCATCGCCTCTGCGAAATGGTGTGTAACATACAAGTTTTGCTTTGCCAGCTCCTTGTCTTACTGCAAAGGCAATTTTCATGTATTTTGTGGATGAAAAACAACAAAGAGTAAATGTCAGGAATCATGCAATCCTACAAGTGGGCTCAAAGAATGTGGATTAAATGACCGTTCTTTACCCCACTTTCATTCTCAAGCCTGAAAGGAGCCTGAAAAATGTCGTGAGCCTTTCCAAGAGTTTTCGTCCGGCATTCTAAGTTGCACATATACAGTGTTTCTGTTTTTGTGCACAACCATCTGTTTAACCCTCAGAAACGCACCGTTCTTCCCCTCAGAATGTTGAGTTGCAAAAACACATAGGTTTTGGTCGCGCCGTGAGCACACTCAGTACATCTCAGTGCATCTCAGTACTCAAAGGATCTCTAAGCCAAGTCTAAGTGCACTAGTTCAATCTAGTTCGATCTAGTTCGTCGTGCTGAATAAATCCAAAGCACCTGGAAGACCTCCACGAACTTTCGGGCGTCTTTTTCATATGTCAGCCTAACAAGTTGCAAGCGATCATATCAGGATATCTCAGGATCCAAGCGGAACACGACTTCAGCGACTAGAGGGAGCCTGGCCTCCTACCACCATCTGTCAATCCCAATAGAGATTGCTCTTATCAAGCTTTCCTGTCTATTCATATCTATTCAGTTTCTTCTGTCTATGATTGGAGGTCAAAAAGAAACCTTGCACCTCCAGGCTCTCTGCACGCTCGGCGACTGCGTTCGAAGGACGCCAAGGATGCAAAGCGCAGCGCAGATGATGCCAATGGCGCAAACAATCTGCAACACAATGCGGTGACAGACAGGAACTTTAAGTCATCACACATATTCACACATCCGGTGCCTGGAGTCTTGATGTTTCAGGCCAAGCACTGTTCAGAGTTTGGGCATATTTTGGCAGTTAGCAAACATGCTCTGCGACAGCACTAAAAAAAACAGGTGGAACCCTATGGAACCAATTCAACAGAACATCAGTTCGAATGAAGGATATTGTAAGGCCACATGGGCGATCAGTAGCTATATGTCCTTTGCTTTTTTCATGACTGCATGAAACCATTTTTGGACATCTGCAGCATTGAGCTCATGACCAAGAACATGTATGCTGCATCCATGAGCTCCGTGGCATTTGCAGGCACGAAGAATGGCATCAGCAAACAAAGCACCTGGCCAAACTGTCCTAAACGTTCAAGGGTTGTGTCTTGTCTCACTCTCTATCTTGCTCAACGGCCAGTAATACCGTATCTTCATGTATCTTCCAGCGCTTTTTGGAGTGGGCTTAACCAAACAAAACAGATTCAATGCGGTGGTGAGGGCATTTGATGAATCTGCATCCGGTTTCCATCCAGGAGTTTTGGTCAGTGAGTCCTCATAGCCACACAAAAAAAAACATTAAATATTTCCTGCCAAGGCGACTGCAAGCAGGTAGTGCAGGGCCACATCAAGCCAAAGCAATGTTGCAGTTCGCCATGGAAGGAACCAAAAGACCGCGAAAAAGTAGAGCATCAAACCTGAGTTTGCTGAGTCATGGCATGTTTGCATCAAGTCATGGCCACCTTTCTCCACCATTTTTGCAAAACCTTCGCGCGTCAGCCCACGCTGAGAAGCATATGAAGCATGACATCTTGACCAAGTGGCCAGATCCGAGCCAAATCGTTTGCGCCATGGGTCTTTGAAAAGCCACTGTCGTGAGCGACAAGAAAAATGCCTGAAACAAATGAAATCAAATAAAATCAAACTAGCATGCGCATCATGCAATTCTCTTGCATGCAATCGCACGGAACTAGGCAAAACTATGTCAAACGCGTTCAAACTATCCAAATTTCAGTATTACATAATATTACTGCTGAAAGGTTACGGCATGTTTTGTGAATGTAGGAATTCCAGAAGTTGCTTCGGAACATGCCAAGTATGCTATGAGGTGTGTCTCTGCGTGCGGGCATCAATTCAAGGCTACTGGAACAAGGAAATTCAGCAAACTACAAAGCAAGAAAGTCAAGCGAAGGATCCAAGGATCATGTGTCAAGGACGGGAAACATATACCTAACTTGACATTGTGCATGACACCTTCAAGACTGATTAATACACACGGTACGAAAGAAGTGTTCTGGTAAAAGAGATTCACAACAAAACGGACAACCGCTGCCTTCAATACACATGACATGCGGGCCACATGTAATTTTTTTTAAAGCAAACCCATGTGCACAAGCACTTGATCTTCACACAAATGTGTACATGTATAAAACAAAAATGATATAGGATATGTGATATATGATATATTATATATATATGGGTTTCGATCAGAATTCCTTTATCCGGGAACGGCCATTCTTCGCGAATAAAAATGTTACTTTCGTGAAACTTTCGCGAACTCCATGTTTATCTTTCGCGGGGCCCATGTTGGCCAAGAACACCTCTTATGAAGATTCGTTCACCACCTGCCAAATTACGCCGAGGAATCACGGATCACTTCTTGATAGGCTTTTCAACATGCAGCTGGCATCACGGAATCCCTTCTCAGGGCAGATTGTTGCTGACTATGTTTTTTTGGCAAGGTTTACTGCCCCACCCCCTTCAATATGCACTTTGACTTTCGCCCGCTCTTTCGTATAACTTTCGCGACAATATCCCTATTCACAGACCCCGGCCATCAGCACGGCGGGTGCATTGAAGGAAAAGCGAACACCAGGGGCCTTGGTGTTTGGCTCTCGCAAAGCTTCACTTTTGGAAACTTGGCTACTGCATTTGGAGCTTGTTTCTTGAGACTTCAAAAGGCATCACTAGGCAGTGACAGCGGCAGGTGCAAGGATGTGCTTCAGGACCATGGCGTTTGGCTGTCGCGAAGCCTCGCCTTTGGAAGCTCGGCTGCTACCTATGAAGGGTGTGATTGTCCACAAGCACCACCACACAGGGAACTGAACCAGAAACAAACCGAAATTCTCTAGTGCCCTTCTCCTGCCGGACCCCGGGCGGCCGTGGGTGACAGCCCTTTACATAATGATTATAATATCCAACTTTCGCGAAACTCTCGTGAAAAAAATATTACTTTCGCGAAATCGAAAAACAAGACAATCCGCGAACCCGAATGCCCCCGCCACCCCCACCCCCCCCCCCCTTCTTCCCCCCCCCGGACCCCCTTCGGCACCGTTCCCCAGCGGCCCTGCCATGGAGCCCTCGCGCGGACGTGGGCCGAAACAGCGGGTGAACACACCCCCGGCCCCCAGACCCCCACAGTTAAACGGGAACCCTTCGCTCCGCATTCGGGAAAAACTTTCGCGAGGGTTTCCAACATAACATGCACGGCTTTCGCAATTAAAACTCCTTACCAGGACCTTTAGATCGATCATTATATATGTATATATATATATAGTTATATATATGGATGCTAGTGTACATACGCATGTCTATATTATGTATGTATACACACACACACACCTGAAATCCATACCACACCGTACCATACATAAACAGGCACGTGACATAAACCTGGAGAACAAACACACACACACACACATCCGTTTTATCGACAAACGTTGACATCTGATAGTGCATTGAATCATTGGTTGGTAGAACAATACATCCGCGCATTGGCGTGAAGCAGGTCTACAGGGCCTCAGATCATCTGGGACGGTACATAACAAGCGCATCAATTCGCCTTATTGAATCTGCGCATGGGTACAAAATGTTCTACGTGCATATCATATATGCTGTCTAAATAGTGCGCATTCCACATCTATATGGTCTATGCAATATCTGTAATATCTAGATTCGCTTGAAATGAATGTTGTGAACGTATTTGTGTGTTCCAGGTCCTGGGCAACCCCAACCAAACTCAATCTCAATCTAACCGCCCTGTCTGGAATTCGTGATTTACCGGTATCAGCTCAATCTTTTCCACTTTTTGTCCAAGAACAACTACAACTTCCAAACACCACCATCAACCTTAACTCCGGCACCTTTCCTCCACATAATTTCCCACAATTCCTATATAGGAAGCAATTCAAATGATGAATCTTCAAAGGAAACACTCCAGCTGTCACAGCACCTTCACCATCGAAGCGGTTATCCACCAGTACGTCGATGGTCGTACTGAAAGGAACAGGAATTTCCATCGCTTGCGGAATCCTGGGTCCTGACTGAAAAGGGAACGCGCAGTTTCAGCTACAAATTCTGACCCGAGAAAAACAAACCATGAAGCAACATGAGGCACTAGTTGGCACTCCTTGTAAAAGGTGGGTGCATTGTAAAGCGCATACACGATGCTAGCTGTTGCACCAGCACAGTACAGTAGAATTGCCAGAGTAGTGCCAGCCACCATGCTCAGCCACATTTCCGAGCTGGTTATCACCTGGGTAAACTTCTCAGCACGACTCAAGCAAAACGTCTGCGTTTTTGTAAATCTAGGGCGATACAACAAGATCGGCGGTCTGTGTTTGGCCACCTTTACAGCGTTGCAGGATGTTTTAGGCTGTTTTTGACGTGTTCGTTTTTGACTTGTTTTCCGGGAGCTGTTTTTTGGGGTGGGGGTGGCGATGTCTTCGTCCTGTTAAAATGTTGGATATCATCATGGCCACCCACGGTCACGTGTCTTTGATATCTCTAAACGCACTTCTCGTTTGATTGGATCCAATGTGGTGATTCACACAAATGGCACAAAGACTTATGGCCGTGCTGCTTAAAAAGACGCATGCGATACAGTGATGGAGTGATGGCAGTGATGCAAAATTACATCAATTGCCGTGGAGATGGCCCTATGCCGTTCCCCGTATGGATCCATGCTAGACAAAACATGCACTTTTTTCAGCGGGAAACATGGCAAACAAATGCAAAGAGTCTATGCAAAGTACAAACAAATCGAGGCCGGGATGCACGGGAAGATTTGAGTCAGACAATGGCATGGGTGAGAGGGAAAGGGTGGGAAGGTGCTGCTGAGATAGCGGCCAAGCTGTTTAGCACTGAGAAGACAGGAGCTCCACCAATCTGTGACTACTGTAAATGTGTTTAGGCTGTTCAACAATCCAAGCATTAGCAAAAACTGCTTTCTGAATCTTTGAATCTATGGTTTATGAATGTTTATGATGTACAAATATAGTTTAATCCTTGCTTCACAGCCCTGAATGCACAGCCACACAAACAAGAAGGCTGGACAAGGTTTACGAATGTATGCTGTCTTATGCCTGTTTCATTTCGTTCAAGTTTTAGATAGAGTTGGAATTGCTAACTTAGAAACTTTATTCTCATGTAAGTCACTGTAATCTGACAACTTCGAGCGAATTCGGGATATCAAATTAAATGACGTCACAATGGTCGCTTCTAAGCTGCCAACTGCCGGCTCCGAAATCATGGACCTCTCACCATTTGGGTGCCCGTAAGTCTGGAACAGCTTCAAGGACCTTATTGCGCAGGAACAAAGCAAATTGTCCAACAGAAAATTGTCATGAAAACCTTTGCATGGCAGCGCTACGCAAAGCTGATGGCAGTGCCCTTGCATGAGAACTTGCATCAACGTTTTGTCAGTTTGATGCCCAAATGATATCCAACAAAATCCAACAACATTGAAACTGAAACTGAAACTATGTTACTGCGGAGACTCATGCGACTCAAGACTTGCTTTGCTTTGGTCTGTCCGGCTGTCCTGCTTTGAAATGACCCCCTGGTAGACCTCCCCGCACTGTCCTACAACACCATCCAATCTGTCTACATCCAAAGCACAGATTGGTGATGGAAATGAAGAAGGCGACGAAAAAACTGCCATAGGTACCGATGACAATGTCTCTGTCCAAAGCCAACTTCTTGCAGCATTTGCTCACCCAATACCTCAACCATCTCATTATATCTCAATAGATCTCAATGGCGTCATGCTGTCATATACTGTATGCTTCATTTGTTTCATTCGTTTCATTTGACGTGGCAGCCGGGTCTGCTGGGTTGCATTGCCAGGAAAAGGAGGCCACCATACAAAGGTGCCAGCAGCTTCAGGGCAAACTCAGAGGAGAAGCCTTCGGCCGGACATGGAAGATTCACAAACAGATGGACATATCAGCAGTAGTCATCAAACCGGAGGATTGTAGATATACCCTGGATGTAGCTAGGTTGCCCAACTCTCCCCACACGAACCGAACGCAACTTGACCATCAGCATTCAGCAAGACCAGGTTCAACCTATCTAAACTTGTAAAGCGGGATAAACATCAATGCGGAAAAGACGGAACATGTTTAAACTTTAAATTTTAAAGAGTTTAGGGTTGAACATGTTGATTGGGGTAATAACATCAACTTTATCTTCATAAGGGATCAAAATTTGCCACCCCCTATGAACAATATGTTGATTGGAGTAATATCATCATTTTTTCTTCATAACCACCTAAAGTCAGACGCGGCCCAACCTCAGAGTTGCAGCGAACATGTTTAAACGGCTTTTTCTTTGAGATATTTCTCAGGTGCGATAAGTACGGTTTGTTTTCATGTGCTCATCTGAGGCCACGGCTCATGCGCATAAAGCATTGCAGGCGAAATTGCGAAGAGATGTCCTCATGCACATGACATTTTTTCATGACATCGACATCATCGACTCAACATCGACTCAACGATGCTCAATGCATTTGTTGCGAGCGACCCATTCTGCCCGAAAATCACAAATTTTTGATGTTGCTGACCCTTGTTGAGAGCAGTCATCTCAACCAATCTGCTAGAGAATCCTCAAGCAATTCTTCAGTGATTACGTTGAATTGTAATTTGTATCAATTTGCATTGTAATTCCGTAATTCCTGCTTTCATTTCGAGTGACTGAAATTGCCGGCGTCCAGGCAAGGGAAGAATTCAGCACCCCCGGCACATCTGGAAGGATGCCTCACCAACAACACACCTTTGCAGCCTGAAGCCACTAACACACAAAACATCACAAAACATTACAAAATATCACAAAGCCTTTGAAGTTCTTTGAAAGCCACACACTTTTGAAAGCAATATATATATACACCGCTTTAGCCTTCTGAGAGCTCGAAGGAATCACAGAAGAAAACTTTTGAAGTTACACAAATGCAATCACCCACTACTGCTCTTGTCCCAACTCATTTTACGTTTTTTTACGAAAACCAACCAACTCAGCGAGTGAGTTACTAAAGCCATTATAAAACCGAGGGAAGTAAAATAGAATAAATAAATGTTCATCAATTAATTTACATGCGGATACAGTCAGGAAGTGTCGGGGGAAGAAGCATGGAAGGACTTTTTGGTCAGTTGGTGCTCACAGGCACTGAATGGATCACTCTGATGCTTACTGACGTTCATTCCATTCCATTTCATTTCGGTTCAGTTCATGTCGGTTTGTTCACTTTCACTTCCTGCCAGCTCATCTCCTTCATTCTAGTGTCGATGGTTGGTGTGTTCATTTATTCAATCCGTTTATCTAATCTGAACATGGTTGACCATACTTTCAGTACATAGTTTAATATGATTTATGTACTTATTGTATTTATGTCAATTTGTGTCATCTAATTATTCATTCATATATTCACTGAATTCATTCAACCTATCCATGCCATGCCTTATTCCATTTTGGTAAGTTGTTCAACATGTTCAAATCGTCTACCCACCAATTCATTCCCTTCCTGGATCACTCATTGAAGCGAGAATCTCACCCACCTGTTCAGTCACCTCATGAGATACCCTTAAACCACTCACTCATTTAATCAAATCAAATTGAATCGTTCACATCGTTGCTACTCAACCAATCAAACGCTTCGCCGACCGATCCTTCATTCATTTCATTTCACAATCACATGCTCACTCAACAGTTGGCTCTCTCATCTAATCCAATCACTTTCGCGTAGTATTCAGGTAAGCATCATTCAATACCCTGTTATGGATGAATGAATCAAGGAATAATTCAACAAGCAAACCAAACGCAAACAACCAATTGAGGCATCATTGAAATATCACTACAAGTCTTTGAAACTTCCTTCCTGGCCAGTCTGTCGGGATCTAATTACTGCACATTGTATCAAAACTCTGATGCAAACCGCCCGCAACCGGCAACCCAAAACATTACCATCAGTTTGACAGCGCATCGTTTCACAAAAAAATGGCAACCAATCTGATTGGTAATAGATTGGTGGAAGCGTTGCTTGTGAGAATGTTAAACGGCATGCTATGAATTACTCTTGCAGAGTGTGCACCAAGGTATCTCCAAGCTGCTCAGATTTGTCCCCAAGGTCTGGATAAACACGATGGACACGTACATGATGCCGAGCAATTCATTGAAGGTGGAGAACCTTTCACGAGTGTGAGACTTCTAAACTGCACCCTGCTGAGGTCCTTTAGAGACTATAGTGGGAGTATGAGCTTATATTAGCCTATATTAGCTTAATGTGCTGCCAGGAATCTTGGTCTTTGAGATATCTTGGGCACTGAATTTCATGATGATGATGAGAGCACATGGAGCTCCGAGAAGGAAGAGCACTGGCACCAGAGGTGCCCTGAAAGCAGCGTTGCCTCGCACAAAATGCACAAAGCAAGGAGAAAAACACAAAGGAATGCATGTAGCTTATGCTGTGTATGCTGTGTGGTGGCTGAGGAATGCTCAGAGGCCATACATCAAACAAAATCGCACAGATTCAAACATAGTATTTAGATTTTAGTGATTCTAATGATTCTAGATAACAGTACAAGTCGTAAACTGGAATCCTCACCTGGCCTTAATCAGCATAACATCTATTCCACAAAATCTTGAAATTAAATGAAATTAACATTTCAACACATATAACTGGTTCACAAAGATCCTCTTTCTTCCACTGGGATCCGCACATTCCTGGCAAAAGCCGTCGATTTGCCTGTAGAAACCGACCTGGAATCCAAGCCATACTGAGACTTTATAGTCTTTGTCGTGTTTCCATCAAATGGTGCAAATTCAGCATCAGTTTCTCAATGATGTTGACCATGACGTCAATGAGTCAAAACACAAGTCTGAAAATTCCAGAACAGATCAGAACAGCCATGGCATAACATAACAGAGCATAATGTCTACATAACACAATACCATGTGCTGCACATGTTCTTCTCATGTGCCCATTCTGAGGCTCATTCTGTATTTTTTCAGATGTTTTCATATGTTTCCAATCTTTCCATTTTGCTTCTCCCTGTTTTGCCCTTGGCCTCACAGAATCCGCATGCAATGCCATATGCATTGTCCGTGCACACGCCAATGGCGTTGCCTGGGCATATCATTGCATCCTGGCAGGATATAGGTAACAAACTGACAGCATTCGCACCTCAAATTCAAACAGAAACAACTTCAAGGAAGTGCTCCAAAACAAATGTCCAAACATGTCCAAACATTGCCATGTCCAAAAAAACAAAAAAAAGATAAAGCAGCTAATTCAAACAACTTTAGAAAGGAGAAACACACTCGAATATTGTAGACAAGCAAGCCATAGCAAGCCCATGCAAGTCCAAACATTTCATTCCATTGCACCTTGCAAAGGTAGACGCTGTAGGGAGATTCAAAGTCCGTGTAGTGCCTCAAATTCACAGCGCAGGCACTTGGCTCGCATGAGTTCACATTTGTAGCTATCCAGTATTTCAGAGCATTTCATTGCAATACATTCTCTGTTTTGAGCATTTTCTTCCTGGTCTTATTCGTCTTCTTCTTCTTCTTCTTCTTTCAGATTCTTTTCTTTTGCAGCTTGCCTTTTTATAATCACGATGATTTGCACCTTCAATCATGGGTGTGTCAAGCGAACAGAACAAACCGACACAAAAATGCACACGAGCACGCAAACACACGCACACACACACACACTTCACTTGTTGTGCTTGCCCTTACAAAAAATATGGCAGGTTGTTGGTTTTGTTCCGTCAAGAAGCGAAGGTAGCGGCCGTGGATAGTTCAAACCCGGGGACTCCATAGCGGCATTGCAAGGCAAATCCTATGCAGTCTCACAGTGTCTCTCACCACAAGTCACAATGATGTCACAATATGTCACAATCAGTTTCGAAGCCTTTCTTCACATTTAGCGAATGAACTTGCACGGACATCTGGCCAACGTGCCACAAGAGCAGCAAGAACACTGGATTTATGTTTTTTTCTGCGGAATCTTGAGGATGTCTGTGTGATGTTTGGTGGCGATGGCAATCCGTGCAGTTCGTGATATGTGCGAGTGCTGTGTCGATTTGATTCCAATGTCCTTCTCATCAGCACCTGGTTGGCAATCCAAGCCCTCAGGGCATGGAATGCATGTTGAGCTGGTCTCTGGCAGGTAGACCTGACACATCACGGAGACAAGGCACAGCACTGCGACGATGCACTGTGTCAGAAACAGAGCTTGGCGCGACTGCATGAAATTTGTGGGAATTTGATTAAATTTCAAAAAAAATCCACTTTTCACAAGTCAAGCGGCATCTTTGTTGCATGTGCAACCTTCGCCTTGGTTTGAGGGCAGCGAATAGATCTTTTTATCAGCTTAAAATTTATATACAAAAAAAAACCAGAGTCTATCAAATGAAAGGACATGAAAGGACAATTTTGTCATTTCTGTCAAACATGCGGAATAAGAGCAGAGCGAAGCGATACGTGAAATACGTCTGGTCAATGTTTATCACATCTTCATGTGTTGTATATGTTGAGGTTGTTGAGGTGTTTTTGCATCTTGCAGCTCTGTCGCGAAGTGCGTTGGGTGCAGAAGTCTGCCGACACGGACGGACCGTGCCAACAGGACATATGCACTCAGTCGAAAATCGGCTGGCTTCCTGGTGCCCCCCCCAAAAATTGAAATAGCGCATGGGCTTTGATTGTCAATTCATTGGTACAATTGTGCTGGGATGAGAGACCATGAGAAACCATGAGAAACCATTTCCACGAGGACCGTTTATCTTTGTATGTGCATCTGGAGTAATGCCTGTCATGGCCTGTCTGTATCTATCTGTAATTTTCTCCAAACAAAACCTACATAATTCATGATGCATACATACATATATATATATACATATATACATATATATATATACACATACATATATACATATATGGTCCCGTGTCCCGTGTTCACGGCCCCCCTCACCCCATATGGTATGGGGGGTTGCCCCCCCCCATGTTTTTCTTTTGACCTAATGCCTACAGAGGTACATGCATGAGTATTGAGCACATCTATATGCCCCCTCAAGGCTCAAGAGGTATATAGAGTAACCCTGTGGACACCGCGCTGACTGGCAATACGCCGTGAGTAAAAGTGTGAGCTGTCTTGGGAAGACGTCTTAGCTGATCTTGAAGTAGACGCTAGAGCCCCTCTTCAAGTGGTAGCGGAGCACTGATCCTTCATGGAAGGTGAGCTCCAGGTAGAGCCCAGCAATGGCACGCCATGGCTATGATGATGATGACTTCAACATTGTCGATGCAGATGGATGGAACCAATATGACTCTTACGCAATGAGAAGAGCTCCCCAGCAGACACAGATTCATATGACGCAACAAATGACCACGAAGGTAGCTCCAGCATATGATGGAAGAACTAGTTTCTTTGCTTTTGCGGATGCAATTGATGACTGGTGTGACATCACGGAGTCAGAACCTGAGAAACGTGGACCAGCCTTGCGCAATCGACTGGAAGGAGATGCTCAACAATACAAGAGGTTATTGGACAGAGATATGCTCAGGGATCCCAATGAAGGAGTGAACTATTTCAAAAGATTTCTACGGCCTCATTTCATCAAGGGTGCGCAAAACGTGTTCTTATACCGTTTCATGCAGTTCATGAAGTTCAACAGAGGAACTATGGATCTTGAGAAGTGGATGACTAGATTTCAACTGACAGGAAATAGACTTATTGAGTCTTGGATGGATTTACTTCCAGAACCGTCGGTGACAAATCCTGAAGCAATCCAATTTGTTCAACAGAAGAGACAACATGAACGAGATCAAACAGAGAAGGCTGAGTTGGCAGCAGCAACACCAGGTGCAGCTCCTCATGTGGTCATTCCCTGGTCAGATGAACTGGCATTAGTGGCATTCAGACTTTTCAATGCAAATCGTAGACAAGCACAAAGACAGGCATTCCCATTGGGTGACAATTTGCTAGCATTGATTTTTGTAAGTCTAGCTGACCTGAGTCAAGATCAGAGAAACACACTCACAAGTATCATGACACATCGTGGACGAACCCTCGATCAGTACAACATACAAGAACTACGTGATCTATTTTTGGAAATGTTTTGCACTACCAAAACAGCAGTTGACAATCCAATGATGCAACCCTCTGGCATGGCACAGAGAAGATTTTTCCTCGTACTGGATGAAGGTGAACTAGAAGGAACCGGCGGCTATTGGGCCGAAGATGGTGAAGACGGCGCAGAAGGATTCCTGGATGCTTTAGAAGATGCTTTCTGGGTTTATGATGACGCTGACTACACATGGTATCAGAGAAGGTTCCAAGGCAGACAGACCAGACGAGGCAAAGGTAAACGAAAGAGAAAAGGAAAAGGAAAAGGCAGAGGAGGACGAAGGTTCTTCAGATCAAGGGAAGGAAAAAGCCGAGGAAAAGGAAGAAGAAAAGGCCGCTCTCACATGGTGAGTGAAGAAGGTTATGAATTGAAGAAGATTGGCAAGAAGGAGAAGAATGGAATGAATCCTATGAAGGCTATTGGGCCGATGATCAAAACTGGAATGAAGGCTATTGGGCCTATGATGATCTGTACTGCATGGATGAGTATGGATACTTCCAGAAGAAAGGAAAGGAAAAGGAAAAGGAAAGAAAGGCAAGAAAGGCAAGGATGATGATGGCAAAGGAGGAAAGCCAGGAGATGGAAAAGGCAAGTCAAACTATGTTCAACCTCAGCCCACATCAACTCCTGCCATACAGAATTAACAAGTTCATTATTCTTCTACTGCATCAAGCTCTGGTCATGGTTTCTTTGCTTTTGCAGAGACTGAACCAGCACGTGTAGATGCCCTTGCATCCACGTATGCAGAACAAGAAGTACATCGACGCACTCGTCGTGGAGGACAGAACCAACGTGATGCAACAGCACAGCAAAACAGAGAAGGACTCCAGAAGTTCCCTGTTCTGGTTGGAGATCTTGATGCACTTCGACAAGGTGTACAACGACGTCCAGCTCGTGTGCCCAGGCAAGTTGGTCTACAAGAAGGTGAGGCTTCATGGAAGCCGTTGGCAAAAGGCACATCATGGTTTTCATATGGATGCTCTACAGAGATAATCAGAGATAGAGGTACCATCTCATTCTGAATGCTTTGCTGAGACAAAGGAATCAGATGAGCAGCAGAGTGCTTTTTCATTTCATACTGTACAGACTGATCTGGCATGTGAGAAAGGACTAGCTTTTCACACAGAGAATTCTGCACCACCAACTGTATGTATCCTGGATTTTGGATGCACAAGAGCTATGGGCTCTCGACGAGCAGTTGAAGCATTTTGCAGATATGTTGACTCACATCCCAACAGTGGACTCTGGTATGAAATTCAGCCAACAAGTTCAAGATTCTTCTTTACAAATTCCCAACAATCCAAGTGCACTGAGAAGCTCGTGGTATTCATTTATGATCATGGATGGAACACTCAGTTCACAGAATTCGGCATTGTTGTCGAAGAAGGTGATGTCCCATTGTTGATGTCACTTCCACAGATGAGAAACCTTGGATTTCAATTTGAACTTACTCCAGAGAAGGCTTATTTGTCCTGTGCACGTATTGGCATGAGAAAAATGGTTTTGAAGACAGCCATCAGTACTCATCTCATTCTCGACCTACAAGATGTAGCATGGTACATGAGCCAAGTCCATTTCAAGACTCCTCAAGTCAAAAGTTTCTTTTCACAACACGATCACTTTGAGTACAGCCAGATTGCTGCCAAACAAGATGTTCATGAAGAAGAAGCTTTGGTGACTGGTGACTACTGGCAAGTTGATCCACTACGTCGTGAACTCATCAGGCACCACAAGGACAAGAGAAGGAACCTACATGAGATGAATCGATCAGAGAGACTCCAATTCCAAAAGATCAACTTCTTGATGAAAGAGAGACACACATTGAGTACCAGAAGAGCAAGAAGAAGGTTCTTCACACGACAACTGGCGCACCGATAGGAAGAGGTTTTCTGAACAGAGTGAAGAGTTCTGGAAGGGCAAGACCATCTACAAGATCAAGGAGGACTATGTGATCCCAGATGATGTCGTCAGAAGTGACCTTGATCGAGCAAAGCCCTTTCGTGGAAACATTGATGATCTTTTTCACCCTGAGTCAGCCTCTTCAGAGCCATCAGGTGTGCAGAAGAAGCCACGCTCCTCACAGAAGGAGGAAGGCAAACTGATTTCGAAAGGACCAAGCTTGAAAAAGATTGAGGTAGGTCCTCCAGCAGCCAAGAGACACATAGGTAAGCAGAAACCTCAAGTTGTCGATGACTCTCAAGCAGGTTCATCAAGAAGGAAGGTTGTTGTCTCCTATCCCAAGCTTGATGAGGAAGATGAACTCGACAAGAGAGCTAGGGAGTTAGGTTTGGACAAAATTGATTCAGATGAACCTCAAGTCATTGAACCAAAACCTTCTGCACCCGCGCGCAAACGTGGTAAGCAAGATTCAGAAAGTCAAATCGAGAAACTAGGTAGTGATGCTCTTGAGCCTAGGCGAATTTCAATTCCACTGCCTGGTAGTGAAGTGCAAGCCATGACACCAGCATACAGAAAAATGCTCAGGAAACTGGAGGATAGTGTGGAACTTTACAAGCTTCACATTAAACACATCACATGTCTCCTACTCAATTCAGACGAAGGACTCCCATGTTAGGACTTCCTGACTCTGTTTATGAAAAGAATGAAGAAATGTACAACAAGTGTCGTGTGTGTAGCTTTCAATTGCACCACCGCCGTGAGCCAGAATTTCAGGCATACGACCCACCAACTTTGGAGATGTTATCTTTGTTGATCATGCTGAAATTCAGTTGAGGAAGAACAAGTACATGGTGTTGCTTGTTCTTGATGGTGCAACCAACTTACTTTGGGCTACGGCACAAAACTCACTGAACAACAAGGAGACCATTCAGGCTCTAAGGTTGTGGACTGATGAACATAATTGTATGCCGAGAGCCATCGTAGGTGATGAAGCATTCTTCCAAGAAGACTTTCTGACTTATTACCGAACTCATGGTATCAAGGAATGTCCCTGTGGTTCAAGAACCCCATGGCCTAACAGAGCTGAATCAGCTGTCAGACTTTTCAAACGACAATGGCAAATCATGTCCAAGAACCTTGAAGATGATAGGTTCAAAGGAATTACCATTAGGGAAGCTGTGAAGCGTACTGTTTGGGCCAGAAACACTCAACTCACTGTTAGTGGTTATTCTCCTTTGGAAATTGCCACTGGTAGACGACCACCAGATCTTCTGGACATTGAGACTTCTGATCCTGCCCAACTTTACCTGAAGACAAAACCCAACTTGAGTTGCAAAGGTTAGCACTGAGGGCACATCAGGAAGCCAAACAAGCTGCTGACCTCAGACATGACATGGCCAAACGAACAATGCCATCAGATGGACCTTACAAACCAGGTGACAAGGTTTTCGTTTGGAGTTCTCCTGTCAATGCTAATTCTATTGCTTAAAGGCATGGAAGAAGGAAAGATGGATCAGAGGTACTGTTATGTCTCAAGAAGGTGCTATGGTCAATGTTCAGGTCGACAACGCAGTCGCATGATGTTGCTGTTCCTGGACTTGACACATCAGAACCTGTTCCACTTGCAGTTGAGGAAGAAGATGACTATGAACCAGATATAGCTGAATATGCTGAAGCCTACTTAGGTGAACAAGCTCACTGGTTCTGTCAAACTGGCAAATGTGATGTTGTGGAACTCTTCAGTAGCAACACTGGTCTCAGTTGGCACATGGCACGATTGAACATGAAGGTTGGTGAACCCATTGACCACAAGCATGGTTGGAGTTTCAATAGCAAGAGGAATCAAAACCAAGTTTGGAACCAACTTGAGAAACTTGATCCTGGATATGTGTTGATCACAAATCCTTCACCAAATTCCTGGAAATACTCGGTATTCAAGTTTTGCCTTGATGTGATGAAATGGCAAGTTGACCGAGAAAAAGGTTTCTTGGTGATTGCTCCACCTGACTCAGGATTTGCTCAGTTCTTGGCCTGGAAGAAACTCCAAAAGGACAGGATAAAGTATCACATAGGTTGCTTCAACCTTGACATGACAAACTACTGTCATTGTGATCCTTCAATCAAGAACTTGCGTGTGTATTACAATCATGATGAAGACTTTGATATGTTGGAAGCACAGCATGCCTTCAAGAGAGAAGGGAAGCTTTGGAATGATCCACAATGGAAGGTCTTACCATCCCACTTGTGTTCATTCATTGCGCAGTTCACGCAACTTGTACCTTTGAGGGACATGAGACAATATTTCTTGTTTGAAGATCTGTTGGAGCATTTTGATGATGGAGCATTGTGTGGCACGTCAATGTTTTTGGACCGTGGTGCTGAGTGTTCATGTTTGTTGCAAGACTTGCATCATGTTGAGACCTCTATTCCAGTGTCATTGAAGCACATACTTCCACAGAGGTTTACCACTCAGTTTCTTGTTCAAACATTGAGGAAGATTGATCAGTTGCCAAGGAGTACAGAGGCTAGTGTCAGAGAATCAACTGACCCAAGAATCATTGAATTGATTCCTGGACTTCAAGATGTCAGGAAAAAGACATTGCCTCAAATGTACTTTGAAGATTGCAGTGTGTTCAGAGGAACTTATGGAAGAGTGAATCCTTTGTTTCAACATCCTGAAGATGCTGTCTTACTCATTTGGAAACCTGGTGACTATGATCATGTTTATTTCATGTTTGTGTCATAGTTGTATCCACATCATGAACAGTTCAAAATCCATGAATGGAGTATGATCGTCTTTTCACGTGAAACGACTGGTGCTATCAAAAGGAGAGTTGAAGATCCTCCTACTCAAGGAAGCACACCACCAAACGGTGACGATCCCATTCATCCAGATCAGCATGGTGATGTTCCACCAGAGATGTTGAGTGGTGATGAACCAGAAGACCCTCTGGATGATGATAATCAACCTGATTACAACACTGGACCAGATCCAGATGATGAGGATGATCAAGCTGCTTGCACTTCTCCAGCAGCTCGAAGATCTCCTGCAGAATTGAGAACAGTGGCCTCCTGAACGTTGCGATAAACGCGGCCTTCCCGATCCAGTGTCTCACCTGGTATTCAGTGACTTGGGCTTGGGCCAGCAAAGCCAAGCTGATTGCCTGGAAGTTTTGGAGTCACGCCCAACCTTGATCGTGCCCAGGTTTCCGTTCAGCTCACCCCCTTGGATGCCTCCGCCCATTGCACCTACCAACTGCTTCGTGACATTCCTTGGCAGTCCGACTTCATCACAGACCTGGCTGAACCGCACATGGGTTTCAGTGGGTTCACTGCCTTCAGCCGCCATTGTGTCACTGAATCTCTGGTCAAAGACGATATGCCTGACCGCCGCTTGGACCAGGGTTACTGCTGACTTCCAGCCCATTGGAACAACCGTCAGGGCTGGTCGCACCTTTCCCAGATCGGGTCGGCCAAAAGCACTTCCATCCACCTTTCGGGAGTAAGCAAAGTAAGGCGACCACTGTGGTGGCACCCTGAACAGATTGAAAGCACTCTGCAAGTCCTCGGATTCCATGAAGAGCTCTTCATCTGGCGCCAAGTGCAAGGCTGTGAGCTGCCCCACATAAGGCAGCGTGTCCTGAGCCCCCGGAAGATGCATCCATCATCATCTTGTTCGTCGGGATCAAAACCGAGGTGAATCTTTGGAGGATGGTCTCCCTGCCATCAATCAGCTTGACCTTCCTCACGCCACCAGCTCCATTGACATGAAGTGTCCGGCTCTGTCCCGCGGGACGTCAGCGTCATCAACCATGCAAAACATTCCACGTTCATAGCCTTCCTTGCAGATTTTATACCACTCCTTGTCACTGGCCCTCACCAAAGATCTTTTCGAGGTTGCTGGCTGCCTGTCCAAAGGCAGGATCCAACGCTTCGGATCCCTCATTGCCTCCTTGCCATCACCGTCAAGGAAATCCATGATGCATCGTGCACCAGCTTCCCTTCGGCGTGGCCATGTTGGAAAAACCTTCTCTGCAACCAAGTCCTCACGTGCTCTTCCCATAGTTGGTAACAGATCTGCACTCAAGATGTTGTCGTTGACCGTGCGTGCAAGCTCCTGGATCGACAACTTCTGATTCTCACTCAGCTGGCAGTCCATTGGGACACAAATTGGCCTTGTCCAACCAGTGCAGTTGTTGTAGTCCAAGACGGTGATTGTGAGCTTCAACCATTCCACATTTTGATCAGTGACCCCGTTTTCACCAACCACCAGGGACGTAGGGAGAATGGGCAGTAACTCACCCCGGCGCTGAAAGGTGGCCTCAGCGGCCGGAGGCGGCTCCTCACAAACCTTCCCAGCCGGGTGTCAAGCTCTGACAAGCTCTCCAACAAGTGACGCCCAAGATCAGTGAAAGTCACCCTCTCGTTCTTGAAGAACTCACCCAACACCCTTTGCCACTCACCAAGGGGCAGGGGGCCACTTCCAGTTCTGCTAATTCTTCCCCGCAGGGCGCTGGCGACCACATCCACCTAGGCCTCAGCCTCATCACCAACTTCAACTTCAACATCACTGCCAACTACATCATCCGGCTCCTTCACGCCGGCGGAGTCTTGTCCTTCGCCTCCCCCTCGGGGGCTGACCGCTTGCCTCTTCGGCCTCTTTTCTTTCCCTTGCCCTTCTGGGCTACATGTCCTTTTCCTTTGCCCTCTGGCTGCCAGGTCGGCCTCGGCTTGACCTGTTGGAGCATCTTCTGCTCGAGCGCCTGCTCCCTCGCGGCCATCCGTTGCTCCTCTTGTTCGGCGAGGCCTGCTCCCTCGGGAGCGATCAATTCCAAGAATTGCGCTCTTTGCCATCCTCCGTCGTTCAGTTGGAGTTCGAAGGCTTTCATGCGCTGACTTAGTATGTCTCCGGCCGCTTCTCCGTGACCTGAGGCTAATTGAGGCTATGTGATCGAGAGCAGCGCTCACAGTCCTCAGTTCTCGAAGGAGACGGACTCCCAGCTTTTCGCAGTACGTGGGCACCATCACCGTGAGCAGGTAGCTCGTGGCCGTGGCTGGAGCCAAATTCCGGCTTGAGGCGGCGTTGAAGGGGGGCCCCGCGTCTCGCGACAGCAGGGTCTGCATCTTGGTCGCAGCCTGCTTGTCAGTCGACCTGTCCGTTGAGAGTACTCCACCAGCCGAAGCTGATGGCTCCTCTTGTCCGGACCCCCCCGCGAAAACCCTCGTCTGCTGAGCCTGACAGGGAGTCATCGCTCCTTCTCGAAATCCATCGCCTTTCCTCTCTCGACCCTGGACTTGCGCTTCTTCGCATCCTTCTCCTCCGTTCTCCGCCTGGGGCTTGCCGAAGGCTCGCGCTTCTTCTTCCTCTTCCGATCCTTCTCATCCGCAGATGAACTACTGCGACACCTGTTTGCCACCAGAGCCCCAAAGCGATTCCTGAAGTCGTTCAGCTCCAAGATCCTCACCATATCAGTGTGGAAGGCAAAGGGGTCCTCAGAGTCAACCCTCTTGCACTCACCAATTGGCCCCTCGCAAATGTGCACGAGGAACCCCCGCTTCTGTGAAGCCCCCTCGCCCTTTGTGATCCACCAGTGAAGGTGTTCATCCTCCACAGCAATAAGGGTTGCTGACGCCCATCGACCGTGCGTCTTGTCACCCACAGTGGTGACTTCCCACCAAGCCTTGCGTTGGTTACCCAGGCTTGCATCATATGACAAGCCTATGTCTGGCCGTCAGGCTCACGGGCTACACCCTTCTGCCTCTCGAGGCTCTGGGTGACCTAGGCTCCCTTTCTACCCCGCAGGGTTCGCCTGCCCCGCAGGGCAAATCCAGCCGTGCTCTTGAGCACAGAAGCTACGAGCAAGGATGGATAGAAACCAACGTCAAGTAAAACTACGTTTAGCAAGGACGGGTTTTCATATTTATGTTTATACATAAAACATATGGTATTCTTACTATATATATATATAGGTATGACAGTATGACATGGTGCCTTTCAGATTTCGTGGCCGGTGCCTCTGCTGTAACCATTGGTGCAGGGCATCGCTCACATCGAGATGCGCCGTTTGTTGGGATGTACTGACCAATTGGGCACCTACGGTAGGCTCAAAAGTGCTTAGTTCAAGGTTCGCAACGGCATCACTGCAATACCAACGAACACATTGCTACTTCATGCTACTTCCCCACTTGCGAGGCCTCGAGAACAATCACACGATTCTCCATTGTATATCGAAATGTGGAACATTTCATCAGTGCTGCCATGTGACAAGCTGCACTTCACTGTGCCCGGTGAAGAACTGAAAGTGCCACTGGAACCTCCATCCAAAAACTGAAAGTCTGACAGGCACAAAAATACCAAGTACACCAAGTCAATGTCAGGATCTCTAAAGATCTCCAAGGGCGGTCCCTGAGGGCCCCGCAATCTTCACAGAAGGTGGATCCTCCAGTTGTCTGCTTCTGCCCTGCAGGACACGCATCACACCTGCGATTCCATGAATATCTGCCCAGGAGAGGACTCAGCCTAGAAGTGAGTGACAAGAACATCAACAACCAGTCATTCAAACAATAAACAGACACAAACAACACAGAGACCAGTCTAGTGGATCTCCAGCTCTGCCATTCTGTCCCGGCCTGTATGTTTGGATGTTGGCATGGCTCACGCTCGTGAGAAGGATAGGATTGGAGAATCTGCCTTTCGAACAAGCTGGCTCTCTGAAACGCTGACGCGACATTAATTCGAACCAGCCTTTAAGCAAGTATGTAAGAACCCGCCTCCCAAGCAAGAGGGCGATGATAAGACATATTTGAATACCAGGTTCGTTTTAGGCATATTCATGCACGTTCTATGATATATAAATATACTATGTGCAGGAAATTGCAGAAATATGCATATACAAGTAGTTCCGGGGGCGGAAGTTCATGGAAATTTCAAAGTTGAAACACCTCTAGCCTATAGAGCGGAACAAAGGCTGTGCCTATAGGGTGCGGCGAAGCCTTCGGTGCTTCGCATCAACAGTCTCTCGACTTGTCACATTTCTCATTTCAACTGATCTCATTGCATCGCATCGCATCTCTTGTCACTTCATCTCAGTCGATTTCATTTCATCTCATCTCACTTCAGCTGTGCGTGAACTTTGTCTTCTCATGCCATTTGTCTTTTTGTCTTATCACCGTTTCTTTCATTTTGTCTTCAATTTTTCTGTTTGATCTGACATCATGTCATCTCAGCTCATCTCATCTTACCCGAGCCAATCTCATCTCAGTTTATTTCATGTCACCTCATCTTCTCCGAAATCAACTTGCCTTCTTTTCATCTGCCTTGGCACTTTGCATGCTCATCCCGTGCTTCTTCATCTCATGTCAAAATATTTTATCTTTCATTTTTTCTCACACTTGCCAGTCAATCTCTTTTCCATCCCAACAAGACACCGCAGCAGCTTTTCCCAGTGGACAAGAAAATTCATCTGCAAATATACACACACACACATATATATATACATAATATAGAGGTTCCAAGTCCGTGGTGCCCCCCACCCAAATCATATGCCCCGTGCGCGATTTTACTTCCTAATGTTTCCTTGCGCTGGGAGGAAAACTAGTTTATTCGTTTTCAAGATGTTCAAACATGCAGCAAACTACGCAAATTCAGCGTGCTCACCGTGTGGGTACAATGGTTTGGTGAAGCAAGCTGTGGGGGCGCCTAGAAGATATACATGATTACAATAAAAATAAATAACACATGAATGACGAAACAATGAACAAACAAACAAATATATGAATGACTGAAAAACAAAGAAACTAGAATATAATATATATATATTAATTAGTTATAATATATATTACTAACCCCCTTTGAAATTCGCCCCAAGGACCCCGCTATTTGTAGCTATAAACCGCGGGGTCTTGCAAAAAGCCTACAAAATGCAAGCAACAATTTCTCCATACAAAATGGTAGGGCTGTGTGCATCAACCAGCTCTTTGCAGCACCCCCACATTTTTTAGGGAGGTATAAATTTTCCCGGATGTTTGATTTCTATCTTTTTCTGAATATGAACTTTGCTTGCATGCTTGGACCCTGAGCCCCAAAAAAGGCATCATTTTGTAAGAACTTGTTGCTCTGCCATTTATCTGCGGTTTTCTCACCCAGCCCTCAATTGTCTTTAAGGAGCAACCCATCCTTTGTGTAAGGAAATGGGTTTAGTATGGTTTATTCATAGTTGCTGCCTTTTTTTGGTTGTAATGTTGACGCAGGGTGAAGCATTTTGCATCTTCTTACATCATGAAGGGGTGTCACCGCATACGTCCTACAAAAAAAGATTGGGTGTGCCATGCGCACCAAGTGCACCACCAATTGTTCAGTTTTCCTCCATAACTTTCCATACCTACAAAGATCTCACAAATAGATTTGCATAGAAATTCAAGTCTTACATGGTCTTACAAAGTGCTTGGGTGACTTGCACAGAAGAACACAGTACATCAGACCATCCTGATAACACCCTCCATTTCTGTAAGCCAATGCATGAAGCTTTGATGCGACAGCCAGCATCCCTGCACAAATTTAGAAAGATGATAATAAAGAATAGCACGAATTCCCGACAAAATGACCCCTTAAATAGGCAAAGAATTTCTTACAAAATGAAAGGCCCCAACACAGCCAAGATCTCAAGCTACATTTCAAAATTGCCATATGATAGTGATTTTATTCCTAAATCATATATTTCATTGCTCTTACAATATAGCAAGGTGCAAGCAGGCTCCCTACAAAATGGCATCTGAAATGGGCTTCGAGGCCCTTCAAATTAGTACATGCTACAAAATGGCTGTGATCTTGCAAGTGATTACTGGCCCTAGAAATCGACCTTATCTGGGCCTGGAGGCCAGCCGTTTCATAAGGGAAATTTCAACGGGGACTTAAACAAATATTTTTTTTTACAAAAATCATAAAATAAATAAATATATATATATATGTATATATGTATATGTTACAAGCACATGTACATTATTGATGGTTAAAACATGTGCCTGAAATCTGTTTATGTTCATATATCTGATGGATGCACAGATTGATTGATGCTCCCACCTATTCAAAACTTCTACTGGACTCTTGACAAAATGTCGACAACACACGTTTTTGTACGTTTCTGTATGTTTGTAGTGTCTGTGGGACAGCTGCCTGGAGGACACCACTCACAATAAGAAGCTTCCTCACGGGTCGTCAACTCATAGCCGCCATCTGCTGTTCGAACGCCTGGCGCAAGAGTTGCAAGAAAAAACTGCGAAAAATTGTGCAAGCCTTGGAAAGTACAAAATGGACGCTTCCTTGTAGTTCACGGGGAACTGGCTCTTCCAAGCAGTTTGTTGTCTGCGCATGTGCCCTATGTACTGTAGCTCTATTCAAACCTTGCGCCCACAGAAAGTGACCCGGTAAAAAGATGCAAAAAGTGTAAGCAGATACTGCAAATATGCACATGTTATATAGAGACATACTGCAAAAAACTAATGTGACTACTAAAGGGGTCAGGGTGCGACTGTGCCCACTGTGATCGTGCAGATCGAAAAGGAACCCCTGTAAAAAGAAATCGCAGGTCAGCCAAAAGTGAAGTGTTTTGAGGACCGATTCACAACACACAGCCATGCTGGGACAAGCCGCCAATATCACATCATTTTTCCAATTGCGTTTGCGCTTCAACTACATGCATTTTTTTATGGTGTTGCCTGCTCGTGAGATCTTGTGACATACGTGTTCGAACAAAATTTTCGATGTGCTTCAATCACAGCCCGGCAAAACCTGACAATGATGTAAATCGGGGGTAGCCCTAAGCAGCATGTCTTTGCACGATGTGCTAAGATAGACGCAACGTATCATGCGCGTGTTGTGGCATGTGTCATCGCGCATGTCATTGAATATGTTTTGGCACAGCTCGGTCAGTGACTTAGCCTTCTTTTTTTGTCATGTTCTTGGCAGGTTTTTCCCTTCAGAGCAACTCGCACGTCATAGAAGGACATGCAATGCCGAAGTAAATTTACAGCTGTCACAGGTGCCTGTGCCGGCTGCGCATTCCAAATCGTTCGGAATCCATGCGAGAGTCTTCGCCAAATTTGCCTGCAGCGAAGGAACTTTGAAGGGATGGCGATGAAATGTGATACAAGATGATACAAGTATCAGTGACAATTGACGATTTGATTTTGGGGATCTTTCGAGGATCACCATATACTTGTTCCATCTGTAATTCCCGTTCCATTAGGTGGCAAGAGGCATTTGTGCCGTGCCCCCATGGGCAAAAAACCAATGCCCTCGAAACCTGTATCTCCAACTGTTTGTGCTATTTTAGGTGAGGCTAGCCCAATATATAGCAACGCGTTGTAATGCCAAATATGCATGTAAAAATATACATGAATCGGTATATAGATACATAGAGTTATGATATTTTCAACACAATAAATTTTATTCGGCTATTTTTTTAAATTATATTACATTATATGAAATTATGTTCTATTATAGTATATATGTTATATACTCAATATTATATCATATTAAATAAATTATATTATCTTATATTACATGATATTATATTTTTTTTATTATATTGTCATATTATATTAAACGATATTAAATATATTATATTAGATTAAATTATATTACCCTGGGCTTCCAGGTCCTTGTTTACCAAGCACCACCACAAAGTGCTCGTTTCCTAGGAACCTTTCACAACGTGCTTACAAAACTGGCCCACAATGGTGAACTTCATGAGATGGCCCACTTTGAAGAAGCTCAAGATGCTCACTGTTGATATCCCAAAAGAACTTTGATCTAGAGCCTTTGAAGGTGTACATATAATGGAAATTGATGTGGACAGTATGCGCCTTCTTTCCCAGTGGACTTCTAGTTTTCCACTGAATTATCGAAGATGTATTGGTATCCAATTCGAAAGTTGCAAAAGTGTGTCTTCAATTCACCAAAAAACGGGCGCAGAACCACAAGTGTGAAAAGTGCGTGAAAAACCCTAAACCCGTGATTTTAGGGTCACCTTGATCCGTGAAAAAACACTTTTTTTTGATGCCAATCGCAGCACATCGGTTCGTTGCAGTCCAGTATATATATGTATATACCACATTATATCATTGTTTTGCAATGCGGGTAGTTGAAAATGTCCTACGAAAAGCCAAAGAAAGGGCAGCGTGAGCTAGTGCGAAGATCAGTGGTTCGAATGCTGTTAAGTTTGGGCCTAAGATTGGAATTCGGTCTTTGCTCATTAATTTTAGAAACATGTTTATATAGCTACTTATTAGTTCAATGGGGTATATATGCCTAAACCATCACAAACATATGAAAAAGTCAAGATGGTACTTTGCAGTAACGCAGGCACTTTCTTTATAAGTGCTCGTTTCCTTGGCGCTTTGGAAGTTCTGGGTTCTAATCAAATTATATTATATTATATATGAAATATTATTCTAAAAAAAAGATTGCATTATATTCCAAAAAACCACATATATATAACATTAAATAATATCATATTATAGAAAAATAAACTAAATTATCTTATATTATATAACAAAAAGTATCATATTTATCTGTATCATATTGATATATATCAATATTTTATTCTAAAATATTGAATTACATTAAATTACATTATACTGTATCATATATATATATAAAAAACATATCATATATATTTTATCATATATATATATAAAATAAATTACTATTATTATTATTTATATATATATATATCATATATATATATAACTATATATTTTACAATACAATATTATATTAAATTAAATTATGTTAAAATAAATTAAAGTATATTAAATAATAGAACTATATTGTATTACATTATTAGGGTATATCATATATATATATATCGAAACTAAATATTTATATCATCTTGTATTATATTATGGTATATTAAATGATGTTGTATTATTTGAAAATATATTATATTATATTAAAACTTATTTCAAATAAAATATTATATTCAATTACATTGTGTGATATTTTACTAATTTATTTGATATTATATTATACTAGATCAAATTATTTTAGATAAATTTCTGTAAATTATATATGACACAGATTTGATACAATAAATAATGTTTTAAAAAGTAACAAAAGATATATTATACATAATATTTTGCATATTCTAATATATATATATAGTAAATTAAACTATTTTATTTCAGGTTATATTAAATATTCTATAATATATCCAAAAATATTCTAGCGTATCTTCAAACAAATATCAAAGTGAATATAACATTATAAATTATGAAAAACATCTTACATATTATATATAATTAAAACTATTGAATCTTATGTATATTTAATATTATATATGACATAAAATCAGTGAATCTTCTATATGAAAATTCATGAAAATATTATATTATATTATATTATATTATTATATTAATTTTATACTAAATCAAATTAAACTATATTGTCAAAGGAAGTTGGGAAGCAACCTTCCGAGTTACGGATGACTTTTACCTGATGACGGGTGGTGTGAGACTTTACATCACATAACGATACACTCAATGAAGGGTGGTGTGAGACTTGACATCACATAACAATACGCTCAATGAAGGGTGCTGTGAGACTTGACATCACATAACAATACACTCAATGAAGGGTGGTGTGAGACTTTACATCACATAACAATACACTCAATGAAGGGTGGTGTGAGACTTGGCATCACATAACAATACACTAAATGAAGGGTGGTATGAGACTTGACATCACAAAGCAATACACTCAATGAAGGGTGGTGTGAGACTTTGCATCACATAACAATACACTCAATGAAGGGTGGTGTGAGACTTTGCATCACATAACGATACGCTCAATGAAGGGTGGTGTGAGACTTGACATCACACAAGAATACACTCAATGAAGGGTGGTGTGAGACTTTACATCAGATGACAAAGAGAAGTGGTGACGAAGGGAAGTGGCGTGTTTGCAGATCGCATTGGAGTGGCTGCATGATTGTTGTCATCTGGTGTTGCCATGTGCGTAGAGAGATGCAGGTTGGCCGCGTGATGCTGCAAAGCGCATGATAATGGCCGTATGAATGTTGCATGGGCTTTGTTTTGGGGATGAAGCCGGAGCACGAAACCTTATATTTTTCATGATTTTTCCGTGTAGAGTGGCTGCAGCCGGCGGTGAAAGGTACCTCCTGTGTGCGGCGGGTGCGG